CGCCAACAGCGTGGGGGCCCCGCGAGCCGCCCCGGCCCGCGCAAAGGCGGTGTCCCTGCTGGAAACTCATCCTTTCCCAGACTCGGAGCCCAATGATCCTGACACGCCGCACCACTCCAACCGAGCGGGGAAGGGAATGCCCTCCAAAGAGCCCGACCCCTCCAGGAGGAGCCCCAGACCCTCGTGGGTCACCAACCGCTGGGCGCCCAGCGCCGGGTACCGGGCCGCGCTGAGGGGAGGTAAGGGACGGGCCCCGGAGCTGCGGCACGGGGCGGGGAGAGATCCCCGGGGCCCGCTGCTGCCCTCAGGCTGTGCCCCTGTTGCAGACGGTGACACGGAGAAGGTGTGCCTGAGCGAGTGCGGGAAGGAGCGGGACGAAGGGGAGGCTTTCTGTGCCAGCGAGTTCGGTAGGTGCTGTTCCCCTCAGCCCACAGGGCAGAGCACCTTCTGCCCACTTGTCACTCATACTGCACTGCTGCTTTTAAAATACTGTGATTAAGATGTGGTAAGTATGTTAGATAATTACCAAGTATTCAAAAAGGACCCATCACAACTCTTCATAAACATACTTACCCTTTCCCTACCTTGGGCTGCCCTTTTTTCTGTTTCCTCTGGAGGAACAGTGTCCTTGTGACTAGTCAGTGGAACTGAAAAGACCAGTTCTTTTAATCTAATGTTTTAGACATTCTCAGATTAAACATTGGAGCTGGGTTATTTATCTATTACTATTTAGAGCAAGTTCGATTTTGGGGATTGAAGTTTGAAATTAAAATAAAATGGTGAACCAAACAGAAAGAAGGCTGTGATCCTCTCTCTAGAGAGTATTCTTGAAGTTCCTTAGGATTCAGTGTCTTTAGTCCTTGTGTTCACATTGATGTAACTAAAGGTGGCAGGAAACAGCCTGGTATTTTTGTACAGACTTTGTTTAAGGACAAGCATTTTCTGACTGAAACACTGCCTTGTGCTTACACAGTTGTGAAACAGATACCAACTTTTTCTCACAGTATTTTAAGAGATAAGGAAAATACAAGCCCAGTGGTAACAGATGTTTCCATTTGTAGAACATAAACACGTTAGGAGACATCTGTTTTCTCTAAATGGAGAAGTCAGGAAGTGCTTTCTACAAATGCTGTCCTGCTTTGGTTTTACCACTCTCACACATTCCTGTCCAACATGGGCTTCACAGCAACCCGACCTCTGTATGTTTTAGCCCTTAACAGCTCTGCTCCTAAAGTGAAAGGACAGGTAGGAAAAGTCTGAGCAACAGATCAGCCCAGGTTCCACAGCAGCCATCCGAGAGAGCTTTTCCTTTCTTTATATTTACAGTGCAGATAAAAGAATAAATGACTGGATCCGAGTTCTCCCCCTGAGGCAGGTGTAACACCAGGTGCAGTAGCCCCACTGACACACAGCTGTTTTCCCAGCCCTGCACTCAGCTCAGCATTTGCCAGAGCCAGAAACTGGGAAAGCAGCATGAAGTGATTGCCTGAGCTCCCAACACAACCTACTTGTGCCCCTGTCTCTTGGTATGACAAGGGCCTTTTATTTCAAAAGCCAAAGTGTTTCATTACCAGCTTGGCTTTGTACTTCATTGGGAAGTTTTAAATTTGAAAATTTTAGTTTGTTAGGTAAATATGCCCAGTTTTTATATATCAGGATAGAAAATGGTACTAAACCCATTGCCTTCTTCCCTAAGAAACATCTCAAACCTGTAAAGCACAAGGTTTGCAAAGCAGCAAGACTTTAGGCAATGACCTCACCAAATGTGATTATTTGAATTCCTGCTGCCCACTCCTGAGCCAAAGGATTCCTGCTGACACTTCCTTTACAGCATTTCAAATTACAGCCTTCAGACATACCCTGAAAATTGCCCTGATATAAAATCTGATGCTATTTTCCCCTCTCCCTTTACCCAGCAGTGAATGGAATAGTTTATAACCTGGAAAGCCTGGGGAATGGGGTGCAGTGGATTACCCTCCTGGTGGGCAGTGATGGACTGTACAAGATGAGCCGCCTGTATGTCACTCCTGACGCCGCCTTCTTCCGCGTCCACGTCTTGGTTGTGGATACTTTGAACTGCAGTAAACCATGTCCAGACTTTAAACTTGGTAAATCATTCCAGCTAAATCCATTCTGCTATTCCTCTGCATGCACTGCAATCTCAGTCTGCCCTACTTTAATAGGCTTAGCCTGGGTTGTTGGGAAAATTTGGAAGAAAAGTGTTTACTCAAAGTTGAGGCCTTTTTTCCATCCAAGTTTCTCAAAACTTTTGCAAGAGAACCAGCTGCATGAAGAAGTCAGGTACCAGTGCAGCCCTTTCTTAATTCTGTCCAGTTCCAAAATGATGGCAAGTTTTCAGGGTTCCTAAAACAACACAAGCAAGAGCTTAAGCTGGTGTCTTTGTAAGTCATTCCATTTTCCTTTCGTGAGAAACAACTAATCACTCTGAAAACTTAAAAAGGTTTATTAAACCTTGACAAAAATACAACAAAAGGACTATATAAGGGAAAATCGCAGCACTGGGAACTGCCCGAATGGATACCACGTGGCTGGCTCATCTTCAAGATGGGTGCTCAGTCTTTTACACCCTGGGGGGTTTCATCAGCCAGCCCCAGCCCCTCTCGCAGTCTGTCAGTCAGCTCTTCTTTGCCATTTATTGGTGGAGGCTGCTTCCTTGTAACTTGAGTGGAGATCAGGTGTTGCATGCCTCACCCCCTGAGCACCAAGCTTTTCCATTCCCCCCTGCCCCATGCAAGGGACACACGTGCACAGCTTCTTCTCCCTGTCCTGGACCACCCTGGCTGCTGATGGCAACAGTACAGGGGGTGGGGGGAAAGGGAACAATGGGGAGAGCAGAGGACGCCTAAACTGCAACAGCATAACTATACATCACTAAAGCCTTTCTTAATATCCACACAATAGTTATCCCTTAACTGCGAGAGCCAACCATCTCATTATCCATCTATAACACTTTTAAGTGCAAGTTTATAAAATACCAGCACTCCCCTCAACAGTAAATCACCATTTCCCTGCCAGCCCCACCCCAGGTCCCAGCGGAGCTCAGGGTGCCCCGTGTCCAGGATGTTTCCACAGGCACAACTTGGCGTCTGTTCCCAGCGCTGGAGCCCTCGGAGCGACGCCACCGACTCCCCGAGGCTCAGCGGCCCCGTGGGTTTCGTTCCTGTCGTTGCAGGCAGCAGGTACATCGTGATGGGGCGCATCCACCACAAGCGCCGCCAGGTGCCCGCCGAGCTGCTGCCGGCGCTGCGCGGGCGGCTGCGCCCGGGGGACGGCTGGGTCGGCAGCGGCAGCGGCTACGTGAGGAGATTCAACAGGAAAAGGGATCTCAGGGTGAGGGCAGCGCGCTCCCAGTGTCCTTAAGGCTCCGGGGGCTCCGTCCAGGACGTGGGAGCGGCGGGATCCACCCTCGGAGCGCGCCTGGCCGCGGGCAGCGCTCCCGCCCGGGCCCGCGGTCCAGCGCTGCCTCTGTGCTGCAGCCGACTCTGGGAGCCTCGAGCAGGCGCCCCGGCGAGGCTCAGCGCAGGAGTCGCTCTAGGGAATGTTAGCCGGCCGTGAATTTGCTCCAGCTGCTTGCAGAGCCACAGGTTATTGTTGCTTCCCCTGCTGCAGTGTGCCCTGAATAATCTGTAGTAACTGTAATGCAAAATTCTGGCAGTTTTTTCATCAGTACACAACAACTGCACTTTGAACCCTTCACCTTGAACACATTAGATGATACCACAACTTTATCTACATAGGATGTTCACTGTGCTGTCACAGTTCTGCTTAATGCATTTGATTTCAGAGAAACCAATACCACTGAGTACCATTTGTATTATTTTTGTCTTGTCAAGCATGTCCATAGTATTTCTGAAAATTACACCATTCTTCCAGCAGAGCTGGATGTTCACACAAAGCATACAGAATAGAGTGTAATAATTTGAGTATATGAGCACTGACTGAAAGCAAATCAAGAACTGCAAAACACAAATGCCTGGTTGCATTTACAAGTGATGGTGCAGGGAATGCAAAATGAGCATGAGCTGCACAAACTGGGTGTGCCAGGGCACTTCGTCCCAGAGCTGTGCTGAATGCCATTCCCCAGGAGAAATATTGCCAAGCTTGTACTTGCACAAGAGTAAAGTTACTTTTTAAATCAAAATGACAATATTTTATTACCTTCAGTGTGGTGAAATTGAGATGTTTGTTGTTCCCAGTTAGTATTCACAAATAATAAGTCTGTACAAGAAACTAATAAAATGCTCATGAGGTTCTTCTTTCACTGTCCCCTGGGTTCTGGAAGACCCAGAAAACTTACATAATGATGTTGCACAAAGGCATCTCCTTGTGTGACAAGTTGGCTGAGGATTTGATACGTATTTATATTAAGAAATGTAAAAAATGCAGTATAGCTTAAAACCCCACATACTCAGCGACATGGTGTGACCTGCCACAGGAAGCAGTGGCTTCTATAGAAGCATTTTGTTTTGAAACTGGGTAGTTCTGACACACTGTACTTGTCACACACCTCTGCAGCTTCATTTGGTGTCACTGGAAAGCCACGGAGCAGGGGATGGGATGGGCTACACTGCATCAAGTATTTCCTGACATGGAGCCAAATACCAAGAGCAAACATCTCCTATTTGGGACCCCAAAGGCTCTTACTGGAGGACAGAAATTTACTCACAGCATGAGTCTACCTAAGAAATACCATGTCTCACTTTTGGTATGTGGAAGACTTTGCATGGAACACAGCATGGATTGATGGAATTTTCCTGAGAAAATCGGAGGGGGTTTTGATTTGGCAGGAGGACTGTCCTGGCAATGAATCAAAGCTCTGGAGTGACTGGGAGGGACAGAAGGAGGAAGGGTTACAGTGCATCTCGAGTTTCTTTGTTTCTATTTTCAGGGGAAGTCCAGGGATTAAGCAGCAGCTCCTCCAGGCATCCCCCAGCAGCAGAGCCACTCCTGTTATCCTGCTGCAGCCCAGGGCAGCACGGGCACAAACCAACCTGTGCCTCCCTGGGCCTGGCTCTGGGCCAGGACAAACACAGCGCTAAGGACATCCCAAGCCTGAGTTCAGTGCCCATAACTGACACAAAACACTGGGATACAGATGTTGCTCTGGGAGCCTGAAAAGTGATTTATCCCACCTTCTCTCCCTGTGTTACCAAGTCCTCTTACCTTTCCCTTCTTCACTGGAAGGTCCCTCCTTACAATGTTCCCACAGCAGCTGAGCAACAAATCCCTGTGTGTCACAGTCCCACTGACTGGGGCTGGAGCAGGAGCAGGACTGTTGCCACCAGGCTCACCACATACTAAACACACCTCCTGAACAACAACAATTCCCAGACCAGGATTTCCAGTCTTGCACTTGCTGTTCCAAAACTCTCCCAGCAATAACCCTCCTGGGAACGGGATGGCACTCATGTCCAACAGCTGCCATGGTCATTTTGGTACCTCAGTCACTAATTTCCTTTCCAGCAGGGTAAGTATGGAAAATTCTGCTGCCACCAACCAGAAATCTGGGTGCAAAGGAATAACTGTTCTCACCCTGCCTGTCCAGGAGTTTACTTGAGACTTTTGGGTAAGCCCAACTTCTTACTGTACTTTAAATCTCCATTAACTTCTGCATTAACTAAACTGAGATAGAGGATAATTACTTCAAATTTGAGGAGACAGAAAAGTCAAGCTGGCACAGCTCACATTATCAATATCTTAACATATGACCATTTCAAAACAACTGTTGCAATAATTTATAAAATACAAAGAAGACAAGGACTGAGCAGAGATCACAAATCTTATGAACTTTATGCTTGATGGCAGGTGGGGATTAATTACAAGTGATTTATTTTCTGTAGCACCATTTAACTATAAAACATCACCACTAGTAAATCCAGAGAAGTACCATGACCTGCCCAATGGCAACTGAACACATTGAAACAGGCTCTCATGGAATCACAGAATGGTGTGGGTTGGGCAATTAATCAGCAGCATTAAATTGCATGTATGGATTATCTCCCTAATCAACCAAGACCTATATCCAATAACATTATCAATGTTTCATTAGAAACACCACCAAATCCATGTCAAACACATTACTTTATTTGTCTAGGATGATGTGTCCTGTAAGGTACAAAAAAGTACTCTTCAGTTTGCCACAATTTGTTAAAAACAGCAATCTATTGCCTACAGGTAGGAAAGGTTTAAACCATGTCAATATGGATTTAGGTAAGAATAAATAGTACAGAAATGCTGAGAAGTTGGGAGGAGATGCAGGATATGTCCCAGTGCTGCTAAAGGTGAGATTTTTCCTTGTGCCATTAAAACACAATGCTTACAATATGCAGCATTTTTTTAAAAACGTCAAAGGACAACATAACCTAAATGCAACTACTCTTCTTTGCCTTTCAGAAGCATAAATGGATTATTGTTTCCACACTGAACAATTAGTAATTTTCACAGATTGGTTAAACGACAACATTTGTATGTACAAAAACACACGGGTTTTTAGTAGATAAAATCCCCCCAGAAGAACCTGAACACCTGAGCTGGAAGTGTAAGAAAGGGTGGTCAGTAGCAACATCTTTTTTAAGAAAAATAACAGAGGAGGTTCTTGCATAGCAAGGTGTGAGGTTAAACCCAAAAGGAGCTTATCCATAAATCAGGTAAATCCCAGACCACTGTAGAACAGAAGCTGACTGTGAGTTAGTGCAAAAGCTGGTCAGGTGGGTGAGGAATGCAGAGAAACCAGGGCTGGGAACCACAGACAGGTACCAGAGCAAGTCAGTCACACCCAGGAAAGGAAAAGCCTCCTCATCTGCAATTTGCATCTTCTTGGGCTCCAGTTCAGCCCTCAGGGCAGCGCAGGAGCCCCCCAGGGACACAATCACAGGTGGTACTCCCCATTCCCAGAGCACCTGGCAAAGGTCACTGGGCTCCAGTGGGCACGAACACCTCACCACCAGCTCCTGCCCTGTGGGAATGTCTGACCAGGATAACAGGGCTGGAACCACCACCAGCTCCTGCCCTGTGGGAATGTCTGACCAGGATAACAGGGCTGGAACCACCACCAGCTCCTGCCCTGTCCCAGCTGGACAGTCCTTCGGGCACCTGTGGAATGTCTGATGGGGATGGGCCCCACTCCCTGGCCATTCCCACCCCTGCTCCTGCAATCCCTGCACTCCTGCACAGATCCCCAGAGTGTCTCACACACGTGGCAGCGCACACTCAAACACACCTACTGCTGTGGGGAGAACAATGATCTCCATTTATTTTGTTTCATATACATCCATATTTTGAATTTTAATACAAAAGAAAAAAAAATTAGAATCTGACAAATGTTTACAAACAAGATACCTTCAAATAGATTTTACTCAGTTCAGTCTGGTGCAGAGTAAATGACAAATTGTACTGTTTGTTATATTCAAGGCAACAGAGTCTGTAGTCCATGACCACTCAGCCCAAATTTTATGCAAGCTTGTTTTTATCTACCATGAATGATAAACTCCTTGTTGATTCCCAGTCCTGTGTGTGTGCACATGTGTACATAGCAGCTCCTTTCATAGAAAGAAAAGACATCTAGAGGTCTTCTTGTACTTTTACCTACAGGAATCATGTTAAGATACAGAATGGATTACATGGAACCAGGGCTGGATTTTATAAGAAAAAATAATTAGCTGACAAATGAGGGCAGCAATAAAAAAGCGTCTTTTTTGCAACAATAAATAAATACAGTCAAAGTTTTCTGTGTGGACTTTAAACCAGCTTCTTCACTGAAGAACAGACGTGGCATTTCCATGGAGTTAAACGTGACCCCATTTACTGTATCTTTTTTCTTGCTCTCTTTCTCTCTCTCCTTCAACAAAACAAAGTTTTCCTGCTTCTGCCACAATAGTACAACAATTTGATCTTGACAAGAAAGTGGTGCTGCTGATTTTTATTTCTTTGTCCTTTGGACAAAATAAGCCAAGAATATAATCTGACTGTTGTGACCAATAAAAACGCAGTTTACATCAAGTCTTGTCAGGATAACCTGACTAAAAACATCTGGCTCCTTAATTAAAAATTGTCAGACAACCAGATCCTTGCTCGTGTGTTTGGTTAACACGCTGAACTCTAAGAAGCTGTAGACTGCAGTTTGTTGTTATGGGACCTGCAGAGTACAGAAGAAAGTGAAGAATTAAGCACCCTTTAGTTTGGAGAACACAGTTGCTGCAAGGTGTAGCCAAAAATAAATCACAATAAGGGAATTATCACCATGTTGCTTTCATTTATTTTTTTCCCCCTTTAGAAAAAATAATAATTCCTGCTCTGAATTTTTAAGCCCATTTTCTCCTCCAGAATAGAAATATTTCAGTACTTGTAAAATGCAGTGTGTCACTGGGATATTCCAAAATGCCTGAAATCAGTTTTACTCACATATTTACATAATAGTAGTCCATCAAATAGAAAGCAAAAAGACATTTTTTAGTTTTTAATATTTATAATAAGTTCTACTTTGCTTAAATTTATTCAATAAGTCTTTGGATTAACTTAATAGGAAAAAAAAAACTGAACAGGCATGTTAAAATCACATTTTTCTAAGCAGAGTTCAGTGAAACTCCTCTTTGACATTCACAGTTTTATTAGTGACTTAAACTAAAACAATAAAATACAAGGTTTCCACGATGAATTTTTCATTTTTCTCAATACAGTATTTGAGGAACAGAACAATGTTTTTGTTAATACAATTATGTTCACCAGTATGACTGCTGGCAACAGAAACAACATTTACTTTTTAGACAAATTATCTGGATTTTTAGGGCAGTTTAATGTAATTGGATTGTACAGTAAAAGAAAGTGACCCCAACATCCAGTTCTGATTCCAGTTAAAAAGTTCAGACTAAAGATATCACAATCTGCAAGAAAAGAAAAGATGGATGGTATAAATGAAAAACAAGAACAAAAAAGATGCAGCAGTGCAATCAGTGTGCAAGCACAGGGAGTGCTGGGGACCCAGCTAATGGCAGTGACACAAACATGGGTTGAAAACTACCTGACAAAAATCATTCTTACAGCATTGAACTGGAAAGAAAAATGCATATTCTTTTTCAGGAATGTCTATGTAAGGGAAACACTCTACATCAGCCCTTCTTCAGGAGAAAAAATTAGAAGTTTAATTTTGAAAGGTAAATTTTGAATTAGGTTTCATTTTTTGTACCTATTTCAAACCTAACTTACTCCCCTGTTTCAAA